TCAAAGAGTTGTATAATGAGAGTTAACAGTAAAATTTGTTCTCAAAGATTTATTTTGTTTTACTGTATTAAACGAACAATATTCTTATGTCTCATAAGATTTAGTTATGCCTAAGTGTCCAGCTCCATTATTTGCTTTCTTAGTTGCTTCATTAATTAATGATAAAACTTGTTCTCAGGGATGAGCTTTGTTTGAATATGTGAAGTGGAGGATAAAAAAGAAGATTTCAACTCTTTGTTCCCTATTGAGATATTTTCCTATCATCCTTGTCTGTATTGTAAAATCAAAAAACCTGGAAAACTGAATATTTTTACAACACATGAAAGCAAAGCCTGGTATGAACACTGTGTACTCTTTCCTTATCCTACTCAGGGGTAGTGCTGACTTATAATGAGTTTGGTAACAGGGTAAGCCTCAGACTTTTCTTTGGGTGCTGCACAATATAGGGTTTGTTCAAGGATACTATGAAAATAGTTGTGGCCTTGGAATAGGGTTCTACATTTAAAATTTAAGCAGAAGTTTTTTTTTTTTTGTAAATAGGAGTATTTTGATTTTTGATTGATTGTAGACTAGCTTTTAAAAATATTCATATTATATTTACAATAGTAAAAGTAAACATTTAACCTATGTGTAGTCATATAAAGTCACATTTTCAGGATAGAGTATGTATTATTTCTGCATGAATAGTTCAATTTCTAATTATACATATATAATCTATATATTTATATGTAGGTGTATATATATATATATATATATATATATATATATATTTAGGTACATGGTAAGTGGGCATTGTGAGAATCTTCATAAAACATTTGTTCCAAAGAGTAATACATTAAGAATTATTATCTATCTCTAAGGAGAAAAATTACCTTACACCTATGACTGTCTTTATACATGGAAACAAAATATATTTAAGTGCAATATATTGTAAAATGTTATATTTTATTCTTTTTGGTTACATTTACAATATAAAATGTCAAGTTATGAAGGAAAATTCAAATAATTGATTTATTCAACAAAAACATAAAAAAGATATTTTCCAGGAAATGTTCTATAGCTGTTTTTTAAGGTTTATTTATTTATTTTGAAAGTCAGTGTTACAGAGAAAGAGACAAAGGGAAAGACAGAGAGAGAGAGAGATCTTCCAACTGCTGGGTCATTCCCCAAATATCTTCAAAGGCCTATGTTGGGTCAAGTTGAAGCCAGGAGCCAGGAGCTCCTTCCAGGTTTCCCACATGGGTAGCAGGGGCCCAAACACTTGGGCCATCTTCCATTGCTCTTCCCAGGCCATTAGCAGGGAGCTGGATTGGAAGTGGAGCAGCCAGTATATGAACCAGCACCCACATCAGATGCCAGCACTGCAGGCAGTGGCTTTACCTGCTAGGCCATGATACCTAGCCCCTGTTCTGGAGTTCCTAATCTTTTTGAATTGTTAAACTATTGTATCTAGTAGTTACTACTATAATCTGCATTACAGAGAGAGAAGTCAAGGAAGAGAGAAGTAACTTGTCCAAAATTACTCATATTGTAAATTGGCTCTGCTCATTTGTCAACCAAACCAATATGTGTCCCTTCTTCTAATCAAAAGCTAATGCAGCTCAATTTATAAATGAATATAATTATTTTAAAATAATTTGATTCAAATTAAATAATTTACAAGTAAATTCTAGTTTAGCATGTTAGGTCTATCAGCTAAGCAATCTAAATTAAAATTTTGTTTTGTTTACATCTCAGTGAATAAAACTAGTGAAAAAAAGACTTTAAAATTGCTGCATTATTTCTCAGTCTAAAAGACACATGAAGTGATGGAGAAGGCAGATTTCATTGGTAGGAACTAGGATAAATAAACATTTTCCACCATTTTGCAAGGGAATATTTAGTCTTATTTACAACATTATAGAGTAAAAACAGCTTTCTTTAAATTTTGAAATTATACTTATCATTACTCAAAATATTTATTTTAAAAGAGATGAGTTTTTATGACATCTCAGCACCAATCCTGTTTATATTGGAGACCTAAGTTGGATTGAAGATAAGATTGAAATATTGTGTCCAGGACCTGAGATCTCCCTCCACACTTAGTGGCAACAAGCAGTTCTGCACCTTTTACTGGCCACAAAGGCACAGTAAGAGGTATCCTTCCACCACAAGGCTTGGGGCAGGAGCCCTTTTTCTCCCCCTAGTCGGATACTGCCTTTGTCCTCCTGGAGGCACCAACTGGCCAATGTGGGGTTGTGTCTTTGGCTCCCTACCACAACACCAGCAAGGGCCAGAAGGAACCACAGAAACACGAAAGAGACCAAAACAGCCTTGACAGAGGTGTGACAGCTAATTGTCATTATACCTACAAGGCCACAAGAGTAATCCAGGAACTATAGGTGGTTGCCCTCTAAAATAAAATATTTAAACAGAACCCAAGGACTCTTAAAATAATAGCCAAATTGTGCAAAATACAATACAGTCAATTTATATCAACATTAAGGTTAGTCAAATGGTGGAATTATCTGGCATGAAATGTTAAACAGCCAATCATAAAAACACTCCAATAAGAAATTAAAAATTTTGTTTGAACAAATAAGCATAAAAACTACCAGCTAGTAAATATTAGTATCAAAAAAGAATCAAATGGAAAATACAGGGGCCAGTGTTGTGGCATAATGGGGCAAATCTGCCTAAAATTTCAGCATTCTCGTTTGAGTCCTGACTGCTCCACTTCTGATCCAGCTCTCTGTTTATGTGCCAGGAAAGCAGCAGAGGATGGCCCAAGTCCTTGAGCCTCTGCAACCACATGGGAGACTTGGAAAAAACTCCTAGCTCTTGGCTTTAGGCTGGGCTACCCCTGGCCATTGTGGCCATTTGGGGAGTGAACCAGTGATTGTGAAACACTCCTCTCTCTCTCTCTCTCTCTCTCTCTCTCTCTCTCTCTCTCTCACATGCACACACACACACACAATGTAACTTTGCCTTTCAAGTAAATAAAATCTTTTTAAAAGTCTAGAAAAGAGAAACTACAGAACTGAAAAAATGTAAAAATACAATGCTGGCTGGACAAACTCAATAGTTGAGGGAAGATGAGAGGATTAATCATAGCATGTGAGTACACAGCCATAGGATTTTCTCATGCTGAACAGCAGTAAACAAATAAACTGAAAAAAAGTATGATACAGCCTCAGGACCTATGGGGAATAATAACATAATGTGACAGTCACATCACTTGAGTCCCAGAAAAAAAGTGTGTGTTGAATGAGAATTAGAAGTGACAACTCAAAACTTCCTAAATTTGCTTTAAGGTGTAGCCTTTAGATTTAAGAAACTGAGAAAACTCCCAAATAGGATAAACTCAAGTTCCGTGTCAAGGCTTATCATAAGTAAACGTCTGGACACTGATGTCAATGAAGACTAAAAGCAGAGGGAGTTAAAAGACACATTACCTTTTGTAACTGAGGTAGGGGAACCTCAATTGGAATGACAGAGGATTTGTCATCTGAAACTCCGGAGGCCAGAAGGAAACATCAGAAGCAGAGAAAGGTTAACCATTAATTCTGCATTTAATTAGACCATATTTCTGAATGAAAGGCTAACAAGGACTTTTGTAAACAAAGAAAATAGGAAAAGGGGTTACTAGGAGGTGTATCCTTAAGGAGTCCTGCAGGAAGTTCTTCAACCAGAAAGGAAATGATGAAAGAGACAGTCATAAAACATCATGGAGAAACATGGAAAGAGCAGAAATATGAGTATATGAGAGTGATTAAAAAATTCACAGAAGGGGCGGTTTTTTGTGCAGCAGTTGAGTCACCACTTGGGATGCCTGCATTCCATATTGGAGCTGGTTCAAGTCCCAGTTTTTCCACTTTGGATCCAGCTTCTAGCTTACAGACATCCCGAGAAGCAATAGATCACGCTGCAAGTACTTGGGTCCATGCCATCCACATTTGGAGACTGATGGAGATTAGGCTCCTGCCTTCGACCTGGCCCAGCCCTGACTGAGGTGGCCTGTTGGAGAGTGAGCCAGTAAATGGAAGATTCTCTCTCTCTCTCTTTTCTCTCTCTCTCTCTCCTACTTTCTCTCTGCCTTTCATTCAAAAATAAAAGTAAACAATTTTTTTTTAATTTATGGATAGCGGAATTAAAAGAAAAACTTGTGAAAAACATTTGGAATATATGCAGGTTTTCTATAATACACATTTTTCTTGAACTTTTTGAATACCTATAGTATATGGTAGCCTTTTTTCTGGGGTTTTATGAATGATGTTCAACTACTGCAACAAACATAATGCCATCTGATACCAAAATAATGTATTTTTAAAAAGTAGGGAATATAAGTGGTTTGAAAGAGAAGATGTTCACACTTCTTTGAACATGGTAAATGTTGATGTTAATACAATAATCTATTGACTAGAATACCTCATACATGTATTTTGCAACATAAAGAAGAGTCACTAAAAACCACAGGACAAGATAGATTTAAAGTGCTGTACATACTGCAAGGTAGTTCAGTGAGGAAAAGAATCATCTTTTCATAAAATGTACTGGGGGACAACGTTAAGGTATACACATGCCAAAGAAAGAAATTAAAGTAGGTTTTTTTTTTTTTTTAAAGCCAACCTTGGAGTAGTATGTTAAAGGATTTATCCCATTCCATTTGTTTTTCTTAATATGGCTTTGTTTTACAAAGTCAGGGAACAGTAAGCTAGACTTTGTACCTCTTTTAAAAAAAATCAGAGTATTGGTTAGAGTGACTCTAATCCCCACGTGGCAGCAATTGCAGATTAGCATCTCCTCTCTTAAAGGGGCAACAGTTTTTTGCTCCCCCACACTGAGGTGGGAATTTGTTAGTAAGGTACTGAAAGATGATTAAAAAAGGCTGTATATTCCCGTTATCCTTGGGGAATCTTTAGTAACAGGTGCATCTGTTTGCAGAACAAAATAACTGAATGAATAGTGCATGGATTTTCTCTATTTCCCAAAACTAATTAGCATTTTAATTATGTCTTTAGTTTAAAGATGGAACCTAAAACTAAAGGATTAAAACAGCAGCAACAGCAGCATAAGAAACTTCTGGCAGCAATGCTTTCTCAAGATTCTTTTGAGTCCCTCCACAGCCCCACTCCATCTGTAACAGAAGAAGATATTGATAATGAAGATGATGCAATGGAATTGCTGGGTAATTTTAAAAATTAATAATTTCTCTTTTTCTTTTTCTCTGGCATTGTAAAAACACGTAGTGACTAACAGTTTTTAAAAAGGTTTGGGTACTTTTGTCTTAGGGGAAGAAAACTATTTAACACATACTTTATACTAGATGTCTATGAAGTTGCATGTAAGAACTAACTTGAAATAACCTAAGCATGTGGAATATTTATTAAATTGTATTTTGTGTGTTGTGTATGCAGCACTTTACCTTCTGATGACTTAATCAAGCTTTATTCTGTGTGCAAGTGTTCAATTGTGATACGAATTCATCTGTCTGCTTTATTCTCTGATTATAATTGCCTTGATCACATCTATTGTCTATAAAATATATCCAAAGTACTTAATTCAGTCATCCCAAGATGGCCTCCTTTAATTTCAAGAATGCTTTAGAAAAATAGAATAAAATTTAAAGGGCCAAGTAGTAAATCAATATGTCTTCTGTAAATAATAGGAAAGCTTGCAAAGATGTCAAAGTCCTTTCATGTTTTCAGCCTTGATATTGTATTACTATATAGCATAGGTTTTTATATTCTTAATGAAGAAACATATACTTTTGCTTGGACAGGAATCTCTTCATTTAAACTTGTAAAATTTAAATTCTATTGGGAACATATTTTTCCAAATAATCCGAGTGATCTACAAGTAAAACCATGTGTTTTAAATTCAGTGATATCAGATATTTTATCATGTTATTAGAAAATTTTCAAATACTTTCTAAAAGAATAAAAAATAATTAATTGAAAGTTTCAACCAAGTTTTAATTCCAGAATATGAAATCCCAGAAAAACACAGCTGTTTTCTAAAATCATTTTTTATCTGAACCAAATCCTTTGTTTTAACTGTTGATGTCAAAGCATTTTTTTTATTATAACTGACATATGGCTCCATACATTGGTCTGCAAAGGTGTTATTTACTCAATGATGGTAGATTCAAAAATGTTTTCTGATGATTTAATAGCAATACTTATTCCAAAATTAATAAGATCATATCATTGCAATTATTTCTCTACAAACTGTTGGTTCTTATTTTGTTGTTGTTAACAATTAAGTCTTATTTCTCCACCTCCAAATGATTAATGCAACGGGCCAGATGTGACTGTGGTACCTTTATTCAACTTCCATTCAACAAACATTTTTTAAGCATTTACTCTCTGCTAGTCTCTGGGCTTGGTCCTGACAACATAAAAATAAAATAGTGTTGGTTTCTCTTTGTAGGAACTTTACATTTTTAGTGTTGAAGATAAGAATGTAAATACTTCACTCTATTAGTGGTTACTACCTATACTAACTGGATTAAGCACATTGTTGTATATATGGGTAACATTTAATAGAAAAGTGGGGGACCATGATTAAGGAGTGTTTTCCACAAAAGCTGATTCCTCTGGTTAGTCTGAAGGATAAATAGGTGTCAGCTCTGCAGATGGAGTGTGATCCTGACCCCATGGGTGTACACATGTAGGTTTGGACTCTTCTGCCATTGTGCTCCTCGGCTTCATAAATTCTTTCTCAGCTCTGGCCAGTAACAGTGAGGGGCACAAGTGCATGCAAGGGATTCTTTAAGGCGATTCAGGTGTCCATTCGGTGCTGTTACTTCTCAGAGTTCAGCTGTTCTGTTTTGAAGTCTTACAGGCTGAAGACCAGAGGGTTGGGTCCTGGAAACTCTTTAATTATTCTTGCTTTCATTAAGACATTTCACCCTGGGTCTGAGCAACTTCAGTAATGGTAGATAGCTGAAGATGTGGACTTCCTCCACTTATCTTACCAGGTGAATAATAATGCTGGTCTCTAGACTACTAGGTTTCTCCATGATAACATGGAATCATCCGAGTTCACTGGAATATCCAATAAAATAATGCCATAGGCAATTTATTTTTGAAACTGATTCCAGAGAAACACATGATTGTATCTTTTTGAGGAAAATACGAATGCTAAAAATCTTGAAAATTTGTGTGAAATCAAATTTTAGGATATAGAATCATTGTAAGATGGAATACAGACACCTGGTATTTAAAATACTTTTTCAAATATGCAATATTTTATAGTATGAGTTTGCTATAATTTAAATGTTTTTTAAGTATTTAACTTTTTATTGTTTTCTATACCAAGATATCACTGAAAATCTTATTTACTCATGCATGGAATGCATTCTGTAAATCTTAGGATGTGATAAATAAGTAAAAGATATAATTATTATCTAATATTAATATAAATTACTCCTCAATAAAATTGTTTGATTTGAAGCTGGAAAAGTATTCTGAGTTGAACGAGAAGTTAGTAAATCTATCTTTGTATTGTTTACTAAATAATCTATTATTGTTAATATATACTGTTTATTCAAATTTGTTCAATTGTATCTGTGGATTTCTTTTCTAAATGTATTGTGTATATGAAAATATTATAGTATAGCACTTGTAATTTTAAGTAGATTAAATATTTTCTGAAAGATAGCCTGAAATACTAATTAATTCATAGTATAAAACATGGAGTTAATACTACCAAAGAACAAAATATTCACTGATTGAATTTGAAAGTTTGACATTCTTAATCAAATCTGAAATTAATACTATAATTGCGATAGATAGTGAATAAAATATCTCCCAAGTCACGTTAAACTAAATAATTCTCAATCTCAAATAGAAAATATTCTCAAGCACTTTGGTAACGGTGCTGTCAATTAATGAGCACAATGAATAGAATTCCTTACAGATAATCTTTACATGTTTTCTCAAAATTATTAAATCAGTAATTTTTCAAAAATTTTATGACACATTTGAGTGGTGGAACACGAATTATAAAAACCCATATATATTTCATTTAATTAATTTTAACTTGTGAAGGATCTCATGAGTTTAAAAATATTTCAGCTTGTATGTATGGGTTCATTTCCATTACATTACATGCATTCATCATCTTACACATTTTAGTATGGGATATTACTTGAAAAAATGTTTGAGTCTTTTTCAGAATTGGTGATGAGGCAAGTATGTAAAAATCACATTTCAGATATGGTAAAAAAGAAAAACAAGTTGTATAGGTTCTGGTATTACCTCCTAATCATATAAAATTAGGAATTAGATGTGAAATTATATTGCTAAAATTAAAAGTTAGTGCAAAGAGATTTTATTGGCTTTCAAGTGAATAATCAAGAACAAACATAATGATACTAGTACTCTTTGTCTACTATATTCACTGAGTTCCTGTGACCTTAATATCTTAACAAATTTTGTAAAATAAAAATTTACTAGATGACTAATTATATTAAGGTGATGCCTTAGCAAATTCTTTCTCATTGTGACTGAACCTTATAAAATAAATGTTCATTCTCTGCTCTCATTTTTTTAAGCTTTTTTTTACTTGGAAGACAGTTACAAATAGAGAGAGAGAGAGAGAGAGGGAGAGAGAGAGAGAAATCTTCACTGGTTCACTCCTCAAATGGCCATGTCAAGCAGGGTTGGACCAAACTGAAGCATGGAGCCAGGAACTCCATCCTGGTCTCCCACATAGGTGCAGGTGCCCAAGTACTTGGGCCGTCTTCCATTGCCTTCTCCAGCAAATTAGCAGCAAGCTGGATTGGAAGTGTAGCAGTCAGGACTCGAACCAGTGCCTATATGGGATGCCAGCTTTGCAGGCAGCCACATAACCTGCCTTGTCACAACCTAATGCAACACAGTGACAGCCCCTCCTATGTATTTTGTAAGTGGGAGGCTTCTTAAAGCAGAAACTATCCTTAATTGCAAAATGAGAATATGCATTTCACTTAAAGGGAAATGAATGCTGTTAGTGTTGTAGAACTTGAAAAAGGGATAGGGGCTGTAAATGTGTTCAGATATGATCTCCCATCTACACACCTAAATTTTAATAATTTAAAATATGTGAAATGATCGAAGGCACAGGGGACAATACATGCACTTTTCTTTCTTTTTCTTTTTGAATATTGGTCATTGGATTTATCGGGACTACAGAAAATTTGCCCATTTTAAAATGAAGTTTCTTCATAAAAAATACTTCATAAAAAGACATACCAAATTAAATTTATGGATCCTGCAGTATTGTTTATAAGATTGCTTTAAATGCCACTCAGAAATTTACTCAGTATAATGTAAAAACAACTTGATATGGATTTTGTACATAATGGAGATTGAAGCATCAAAACTGGTAGGATTTTTAGATATCGCAGTATTAACCCCCTACTGAATTTCATGCTCTAATTCCAGAAAATGTGAAATAATCTTCAAATAGCCACAACCTAAATAGTTATCATCTTTAAAAATATGATATTCTTAAAAAATTTCAGTAAATAAGATGACAATTGATGACTACAATTGACCAAATAGTATAGATAATCTATACATGTATTTTCAATTGTTAATTAAATTAGGGGCATAATAGAAAAATTAGGACCTCATGAAGGTTTGTGAAAAAGTCTTTCACATACTGCATGATGTTTTTTCCTATTAAGCCCTGTATTTGATTGTAGCAGCTCTATGAAATGCCCTTCTATTATACCATTTTCACTTGAATTTCTGAATGCTAACTTCAGCTCTTTGTTTGCACAAATATCTACTGAGCTTGGCTTAAGAGTGGTCTGAGGAACTGAATAGCTTTGTGCATCTCTCTGGAAAACAGTGACAACATTTGAAAAGATCCATTCAAACATACCCATTCAGCAAATTTTATGTATCTGTTTTGTGAACAGTACTAGTTCATAAAAATATACAATCCAATAACCATTACTTGTTATATTTTCTAATTGTCTTGACCTCTTTGAGACCAAGATTAAAATAATGAACACTGGCTCTTTATAGAACCCAACAAGTTGTGTGTCTTGCTTCAGAACTTAATTAGTCCTTTCATTCATTCATAGGTTTATATTTTCCCAAATGTGTCTCCATCACCTACAAGTGACTATCTGCATATTCTAGTAGTTTGAACAAACATGGGCATGTTTCAAAAGTGCCACTAAAGATTCAT